TCGTATTCTAGAGCTTGAAAGCTCTGGTTAGGTACATGTTAGAGCGCTCATAATTTCCAGAGCCTCGGTGGAATTGCACTGTTTTGTTTTGTAAAACTTCTACATCTACGTCTACATCTTCATTTTCTTTTTTATTACATTACATTACTTTAATAATTTCTTCATTCTACTTTCTCTACATTACATTACTTCTTTACTTCTACATTGTAATTAAAACAATATTCTCACCGATAAAAGATCTCCGCTTTGCAATCGAGCCCGTTTGTTACCAAAACCAGTGTTCTGTAACATTTTCAGTACTACCACGTTTTTCAAACGCTTCCAAATATCAAAAGTAGCATAATAACGACTACGGTTGTGTTGACACAGGCGCAGTTACCGTACCACGTTGGCAGTCTGTACTCCTCGCCGTCGCACACGTTTCATCGAATTGCCCGCATAAGAAACGGGTTCAGATTTCCACTTGGGTTTACAAGAAGTACTTGCTCCTTTTCTCCGTCGTGAATTTTGCTGCAAAACTTCCACTGTAAACACGGAACTTGTTGCAAATCACTTCTGATATAACGTCATTTGAACAAGTACACACAGCAACCCACTACAAAAGCTGTCATGTTTCTTTTTTCTAATCCTCTAAACGTGTTCTATGGAGAAATCCAGAAATGGGTTCTTGCTAAAATGTTTTTTCAACGCTGTCGTAGCGCTCTTTGCGCACTTTGACATTTGTTCAAAAATTTGTAGACTTGAAACAAATGGCAATCGTATGTGAGGCGGCACATGAAACACACCATCAATAACCAAATATACTGCAGACCAATCTCCTGTAGAACTTCGGATGAAGCTAACCTGTGATGGCGGTGAAAGCTTGCTTTCTGTTACATTATTTTGACCTTCGGACAGCTCAGTCTTTACCCATGACCTCTCGTCGCCATCGATAGCTATAAACGTCGGATTTACCACTGCGCTGAATGCTTTCTTTCTCTTCGATGGTGACATCCAATTATTAACTCACGCTCGGACACTTCGTCTTCGACGTCTGTAGTCACTAATGGACGTCCCACTTTGTACCTCACCACCACACGAGCCTGCAGCAGGTTGAGTTTCTCGATTGCATTTATTGAGTTTTTAGGTGAACGGAAATGTATAGAAGACATACCCCTTGACGCTCCAAGAAATCGAGACGCAGCGTCCTCTCAAACGGAAACGCGAATTCACGAAGCTGAAACAGACATTTCTGGAAAATGTCTATATACCTTCTCTGTATACCGCATACTTATGGCAATTGAACCTAATCACGAACCAGTAGCATATGCATTGAAAATGGCTCCTGAACAAACACAAACAGAAATCTTTTAATCGAACGGAGAAATGCAAGCCAAAGTTTGTTCGTAGTGACATAAGAGCTAAGGAAAGAAGAGGTTAGTGCAAGCCAAAAGTAA